GCTTTGCTGGAACTCAAATGGTTTCTTCCGGGAATTGTTTACATTGCTGGATATGTCCTTCACATGGATCTGTGTGGGGGCGATCATGCCCCCCACCTCACATTGTGATACAGGCAGGAAAGAGCAACAGAAGTGCTCTCCCAGTTCATCTCTGTGCTTTGTGCCCTGGTTTCTGACACAATGAGCAGCTGGCCAGTGGATGCTGCTTGAGGCAAACCCCTTATTTATTTTTTGCATTATACAATGCTACTGAATGTTTTACTCTCTTCTGTGGTGTGTTTTCCATCTCAAACATCAGTTTCTTTCTCTCATCTTTCTTCCCTATGATGGCATTGACTGGGAGAGGACCAGATGATGCCCACTCCTTTCCTCCCTGTCATATATGTGGCAGTGGTCCCCAAACACCATCTATTGGTCAGTCAAGAGAGAAACACCATCCAATGGTGCATCACTGTAAGTTTAAGGCTAAGCATTTATTGTGGAGAGCGAGCAACTTTGCCAAGGAAGCGTGTCTGCAATTTCAGTGTCATTAATGGTGATGTAGCTTTTTCTGTATGTCTCCTTTAGGAGGTCTCAGGTGTGAGAAGTGCTACTAAAGGAGGTCCCAGAGGACTCTCATATATTAATGATATGATAGACTGTAAAGAAATTAGAAGTGATGGAATGCATAAGACAGAGTCTGTTTTTAATGAAATAAATACTACTGGGAATTGTGTGATTATGGGAGACTTTAACTTCCCAGATACAGATTAGAGGATACGTACTACTAATAACAGTAGGGCCCAGATTTTCCTGGATGTGATAGCTGAATCAACAAGAGGGGATGCCATTTTAGATTTGGTATTGGTAAGGAGTGAAGACCTCATAGAAGAACTGGCTGTAGGGGACAACCTTGGCTCAAGTGATCAGGAGCTAATTCAGTTTCAACTAAATGGAAGGATAAACAAAAATCGATCTGCAACTAGGGTCCTTGATTTCAAAACAGTTAGCTTTAATAAATTAAGGAAATTAGTGAGGGGAGTGGACTGGATCAAAGAACTCAAGGATCTGAATGTGGAGGAGGCTTGGAATTACTTTAAGTCAAAGTTGCAGAAACTATCTGACACCTGCATCCCAAGCAAGGGGGAAAAAATCATAGGGAAGGGTTGCAGACCAAGCTGGATAAGCAAGCATCTCAAAACGGTGATTCAGAGAAAGCAGAAAGCCAACGAGGAATGAAAGATGGGAGGGATCAGCAAGGAAAGCTGCTGCTTGTCAGAAAGCGCTGGGATAAAGTGAGAACTGCCCAAAGCCAAGCAGAGTGGGACCTTGCAAAGGGAATTAAAACCAATAGTAAAACATTCTATAGCCATACAAATAAGAAGAAAACTAGGAAAGAAGAAGTGGGACCGCTAAACACTGATGATGGGGTGGAGATTAAAGATTAACTAGGCACGGCCCAACACCTAAACAAATACTTTGCCTCAGTTTTTAATGAGGCTAATGAAGAGCATAGGGGCAATGGCAGGGTGGCTAATGGGAACGAGGATAGGGAGGTAGAAATTAGAGGTGGAAGTCAAACTCAAACAGTTTAGCGGGACTAAATCGGGGGGCCCAGGTAATCTCCATCCAAGAATATTAAAGGAACTAGCACATGCAATTGCAAGCCCAATAGCTATGATTTTAATGAATCTGTAAACTCGGGGGTCGTACCCTAAGACTGGAGAATGGCTAATATAGTTCCTATTTTTAAGAAAGGGAAAAAATGTGATCCAGGAAACTACAGGCCTGTTAGTTTGACCTCAATTGTATGCAAGGTCTTGGAACAAATTTTGAAAGAAAAGTAGGTAAGGACTTAAAGGTGAATGGTAATTGGGATAAAATACAACCTGGTTTATAAAAGGTAGATCATTCCAGACCAACCTGATCTCCTTCTTTGAGAAGATAACTGATTTTTTAGACAAAGGAAATGCAGTAAATCTAATCTACCTGGATTTCAGGAAGGCATTTGATACAGTTCCACATGGGATACTATTAGTTAAATTAGAGAAGATGGGGATTAATATGAGAACTAAAAGGTGGATAAAGGACCGGTTAAAGGGGGGACTACAACAGGTCATACTGAAAGGTGAATTGTCAGGCTGGAAGGAGGTTATTAGTGGAGTTCCCCAGAGATCAGACTTGGGACCAATCTTATGTAACATTTTTATCGCTGATCCTGGCACAAAAAGTGGGAGTGTGCTAATAAAATTTGCAGATGACACAAAGTTGGGAGGTATTGCCAATACAGAAGACGACCAGAATATCATACAAGAAGGTCTGGATGACCTTGTAAACTGGAGTAACAGAAATAGGATGAAATTTAATAGTGCAAAGTGCAAGATCATGCACTTAGGGACTAACAACAAGAATTAGGTGTCCCTAACCTCTGTTTGCCAGAAGCTGGGAATGAGCGACAGGGGATGGATCACTTGATGATTACCTATTCTGTTCATTCCCTCTGGCACTGGCCACTGTCGGAAGACAAGATACTGGGCTAGATGGACCTTTGGTCTGACCCAGTAGGGCCATTCTTATGTTCTTATGTAATTTTTGCTATAAGCTGGAGACTTATCAGTTGAAAGCAACAGAGGAGGAGAAAGACCTGGGTAATTGGTTGAACACAGGATGACTATTAGCCATCAATTGGATGCGGTCATGAAAAAGGCTAATGCAGTCCTAGGATGCATCAGGTGAGATATTTCCAGTAGAGACAGGGAAATGTTAATACCATTATACAAGGCACTGGTGAGACCTCATCTGGAATACTACGTGCAATGCTGGTCTGCATGATTAAGAAAGATTAATTCAAACTGGAACAAGTGCAGAGAAGGGCTACTAGGTTGATCCGAGGAATGGAAAACCTACCTTATGAGAGGAGACTCAAAGAACTTGGCTTGTTTAGCTTAACCAAAAGAAGGCTGAGGGGAGATATGACTGCTCCCTATAAATACATCAAAGGGATAAATACCAAGGAGGGAGAGGAGCTATTTAAGTTAAGCGCCAGTGTGGACACAAGAACATATGGATATAAACTGGCCATCAACAAGTTTAGGCTTGAAATTAGGCGAAGGTTTCTAACCATCAGAGGTGTGAAGTTCTGGAACAGCCTTCCAAGGGGAGCACTGGATTCTCTCCAATCTATCCACATCCTTTCTGTAGTGGGGGGGCCAAAACTGGATGCAATACTCCAGATGTGGCCTCACCAGTGCCGAATAGAGGGGAATAATCACTTCCTTTGATCTGCTGGCAGTGCTCCTACTAATGCAGCCCAATATGCCATTAGCCTTCTTGGCAACAAGGGCACACTGCTGACTCATATCCAGCTTCTCATCCACTGTAATCCCCAGGTCCTTTTCCGCAGAACTGCTGTTTAGCCAGTTGGTCCCCCGTCTGTAGCGGTGCATGGGATTCTTCAGTCCTAAGTGCAGGACTCTGCACTTGTCCTTGTTGAACCTTATCAGATTTCTTTTGGCCCAGTCCTCCAATTTGTCTAGGTCACTCTGGACCCTATCCCTGCCCTCCAGCATATCTACGTCTCCCCCCAGCTTAGTGTCATCTGCGAACTTGCTGAGGGGGCAATCCATCCCATCATCCACATCACTAATAAAGATTTTGAACAAAACCGGTCCCAGGACCAACCCCTGGGGCACTCCACTTGATACCGGCTGCCAATTAGACATTGAGCTGTTGATCACTACCCGTTGAGCCCGACAATCTAGCCAGCTTTCTATCCACCTTATAGTCCATTCATCCAATACATACTTTTTTAACTTGCTGGCAAGAATACTGTGGGAGACCGTATCAAAAGCTTTGCTAAAGTTAAGATATATCATGTCCACTGCTTTCCCCATATCCACAGAGCCAGTTATCTCATCATAGAAGTCAATCAGGTTGGTCAGGCATGACTTGCCCTTGGTGAATCCATGTTGACTGTTCCTGATCACATTCCTCTCCTCTAAGTGCTTCAAAATGTTTTCCTGGTTTCCAATGGTTTCCAAAATGGTATGATGGGCCTGCCTATGATGGCATGTGGCCTATTGGTGACTGGCAATGGCAAAAATCCAGAGCAGCTGGTGATGGGACACTAGACGGGGAGGGTTCTGAATTACTACAGAGAATTCTTTCCCAGGTGTCTGGCTGGTGGATGTCCACCTGCTCAGTGTCTAACTGATCACCATATTTGGGGTCAGGAAGGAATTTTTCCCCAGATCAGATTGGCTGAGTCCCTGGGGGGGTTTCGTCTTCCTTTGGAGCATGGGGCATGGGTCACTTGCAGGTTTAAACTGGTGTAAATGGTGAATTCTCTGTAACCTGAAGTCTTTAAACCATGATTTGAGAACTTCATTACCCAGCCAGAGGTTAGGAGTCTATTACAGGAGTGAGTAATTTCTATTACAAGAGAAGTGGCCTGCAATGTGCAAGAGGTCAGACTTAATGATCATGATGGTCCCTTCTGACCTTAAAGTCTGAGAATCAATAAGGCTTGAACCAAGGCAATGCACTCGCAGTGGTACTGGCAATGCTTGTGCAACATTAGGAGCACTTTTGTATGGGGATAACAGGGTTTTACAAGCACCTCTGGTGCCTGAACCATTGATGGCAACAACTTTTCTCTCTAGTATAGACAGTGATTGAGCTTCTAGTTTCCTGATTATTTCTCATACTAGAGTTTAGTTCTAGGTGAGCTTAAAAAATGTGCATGTTTATAAGTGGCGGGGGAAGCTGTTAACTAAAGGACAGCTATTGTTAGTCAAGGCCCAGAGCAAAGCTCACCGTATTTACATATGTTTCCCATGATTTTTGTGAACTTGAAGAAGAATGCACACAAACGCCAGTTATGGCCATTTTTAGATCAACATATAGCCAGCACCACCCTGAGATTCATGCTGAGGAATTTAAAGATTTATATGGAGATGTCTGAATTTAATGAATTAGCCCAGATGTGGATTAAACTCCCAGAGAAGAAAAGAGAAAATTACCTGTTGCTCTTCTGATGGCAGTTCAATAGAATTAGCGACTGCATCTACATTGTCTTCTGTGTGTGCCTCATTTTCTTCAGTTACTTCAGACTTTTCAGTCTCCTGACAACAAAGGAAAAGCACAGCAGAGAGAACATCAGGCACTTACAGAGGGGGTAAGAAAGACAATAGATGTACAAAACTGATTGCTTATGTGCTCTCTCAGAAACTCACTGTTCAAAGCCACCAAGTAACCACTATACAGTTGCCCTCATTTATTCAGACATTGGGCTATCTGACTTATTTCTTTCCAGGGAAATGAACAAGCAGCTAGTACAGAGTTCTTCATTTTTAGTGCTGATGCAAGTTTATGTGAGATGTGCAAGATCACACTCATCCATACACAAACCGTGGGTGCATCAGTGTACTCACTCCCTTTAAGACAAAAGTATGTGAATAGGCCCTAAGGAATTATTTGTCTGTTCCTTTTTAAAAAAAAAACAAAAAAAAAACCTCATCTCTAGCTCTGCTGTTAGGCGAAAGGACCACAATCCTTGTGAATTCAATAGAACTATTCAAATTCTTAAAGTTAAGCATGTTGCTTAAAGGTTTTGTTGGACTGGGACTCAGGGGGAATAGAACATGCTGGATGATTGGAATGGGTGAAAGTGGACTTCTGAGGGTGAACAAAATACTCAGCTATTACTTCCACAACTTTGTGCTCTTCACCCGAAACTTCACCGTTTGGAAGGTTTGATGTCTCTTCAGCAGTTTTCGCCTCCTGAATCAGGGAAAATGAACAATATATGAGAAGCTGAATAAATCTACAGAACAAAGTTGGAGAAGGCAGGTGCTAAGAAAAAAAATGTTTAAAGATGTCTACCAGCATGACACATTTTGGCAACTGACTCAGTACCTCTTTATACTGATAGTATTATTATTAAAAGGGCATTCCAAGAGCCATTTGTTGGCTTACTGTGCCCTTTACACTTCTGGCTTTTGGCCATGCAAACTAACAAAGGAATTCTAGAATAAAAATGGTGCTCTTAACCTTAAAAAAAGAATTCTACTATTACAAGAGGTTTTATAAATTTGTTGAAATTCTCTTGCAAAATATTGCATTTATCATTTTGCTTATGCGAATGACAGTTTTCTTTAGGGACACTTTTTTGTAGTGACTCATAAAATTAAAAGACATAGCTCTTATTGAGCATAGCTTTAAAAAAAAATTGCCTTTAGATTTCTTATGCCCCTTTCCTCACTGGCATTAATGGCTCTTTATAAATATTTAAAACAAGAAACGAGGATAAAATATCCATAAAAATATACCACCATACAAACTATCCCAGGCTAACAGGACACTTACCCAAATACAAGCTTAAAGGAGTGGTTAGGAGAATTAGACTGATAGTAATATTTTACCACCAAATACATACACACACACCTTCACTGAGATGTGCACATCTACTACCAAGGGCAGAATTTAGTTTTGTATGATGTGTGAGAGAAACGGACTCAAAAACATATGAATGATGACTATAGAAAGTCATACTGAAATAATGCTATTTGGAACCTATTCATGAATCTACCATTTCAAAGCACCCCAAATAGTTTTTGTTCATTTAAAATTAAGCAACATTCCTGCAAACTGATTAATCTTTTTCTTGTCAATAAAACACGTCTATCAGTAAACTATACAGCTACCTTAAGAGTGCACATTTTCTCTTTTTCAATTTCACATTCAGAGATGCTTTAAAGGGAGAATTCTCCATTTACTAAAGTATATATGGGACTAAACCTCAAAATCAGCACAGCAAAAACAAAAAGGATTTAGAGATGAGTAACACATACACGTCCAGATTCTCATCTGCTGTAAATCAGCATCGCTCCATTGAATTCCTAGAACAACTGCGGAAAGGAATAGTCTAGCGGAGAGCTATCTGCTTGCTGGAGTTCTGGGAGATGTAAGCTATAATCTATTTTTGCTAAATAGCAGTAGACAAGGATAACCCATTATCTCCCCACAACAAATAACCCACTGTCAGCATTCAAACCTGGCTAACTACTCCGAAGCCATGATGGTACAATACACTGCTTGCTAACTTAATTTAATTTAAGTAACAGTCTTCTCATGAACAGGATGCCTCTCCTGTAACATTTGAGAAAAAGATCAAGGGATCAATCACACTATACTTCTGAACACACAGAGCCGTTGTTTTAAATTTGTCTCAAAATAAACATTCCCAGAAACAATCTCTTGACTTCTTTGAAAAATGGGTTCCCTTTATAAAAACAGTAGCTTGGATATGCAAGAAATAGAAATATTTTCAAAACCAGGAGCATACTGGAGGTTAAATCTGTAAAAAGCTGTCAGCTAATCTGTACCCACTACAGATTAATCTACCAGTTAGGCATTACATTGTGAGTGCTTTTCTGGTGGATGGTTCCTTTTTCTTTACTTTATCTCACCTAATTATTTCATAAGAACCCATCTAGGACTGGAGGGGGGGTTGGTTGTTTTTAAGCTTGCTCAGCACCGCGTGATTATCTTTCCATGCGCATTAACAAAGACTGATAAAGAATGTTGAAAACAGAAATGCCACTCCCACCTTTGCCAAATTCAGCCAGACTTCTTACATAGCCATTCAGTGTCACATTCCGTACAAGTATGAAAGGGGAAGGGGCATCAGGAAGATCTCTCTCCAGCCTTACCTCACCACCCTGGTGATACCAGAGACTGAGCTATGTGAGCCTAAATCACTAGAGTTACAACCTTTATTGGGCATGGCTCAGATACATATGCCTAAGCCCCACCATCTACACTGGGGGCCTGATCCAAAGCCCATTGAAGTTAGTGGAAAATCTGCCACTGACTTGTATGACCTTTGGATCAGGCCCTAAAAATACAGCCATCCCCTGCATTCAGACCTGAAATGATACACTCTTTTTTGTTTGGAAGTTAGGATTAAAATAGACCAGGTTTAAGATCAGGTGTTCCTTCAGCGCACATAAATAGATTAAAGAGCTTATAAACACACAAACTCCTTCTCTCCAGAGGGGTATAAAATTGTATTACTCATCCATGCTAAATGATACCGTAGGAGATGTAATTACGGTTTTGGAAGACTAGAGATGTAGTGGCAGACTGAATTATTCGTGGTATAAATCAATAAGTAATTTGGCTCTTTGAAATGTCATGTAAGTTTAGGGCTAACAAACCCATTGGAAATGATAATATGCTCAGCACTTAGAAAAAAATATCAAGTGCTTTGCCCTGACCCTGCAAAGACTTATGCAAATACTGAATGGTAAGCACAAGTGTGATCTCGTTGAGTTCAGCAGAACTCCTCATGTACTTAAAGGTAAGCACACATTTAAGTGCTTTGCTGGATAAGGGCCTACAAGTGCTGTAAAAACATGTATCAATATTATTATTAATTCTTTGTATTGTAGTAGCACCTGGGGACCCCAATCATGGAGCAGGGCCCCACTGTGCTAGGCGCTGTACAAACAGAACAAAAAGACTGTCCCTGCCCCAAGCTTACAATCTACATGTAAAATGAGAGACAACTGGTGGATACCACAGATAGGCAGGGCTCGTCAGACAATACTGGTCAGCATGAAAAGCAGCATACCAGCTTCATGCTAATTGTCCTAAAGCCTCAGTGAGGAGAGATACTGTGAGGGAGAAGCACACTAACTGACTTATTGACTTTATAAATTTTCCATGTTATGATTTTAAAAAATGATCTCTGTGTACTAGTAAGTTCCTGAGACAAGAAGAGATTTACTGGGAAATATTGTTTAGAGAACTGCCATTAGCACCACCACCCTTCTAAATTCACCATGCATCTCCAAATTCATACCACTGGCCATCGGTTTCACCATACTCCCATTACATTTCACCTGAGGGTTGAATTGACAGCCAGGTGAAAGAAAAGCAGCAGCAGCACAATGAGGTCATTTATATGACAAGCTATAACCACTCTGGCCTCCAGTGAAGATGCTGAGAAATACTCTGCAATAAACGCTAAAAGTAGGTGTTTGTCCTGATCTATAGATCTCTCTCAAATTCAGATGCAGATTTTAAATGGTGCTAGATCTAAAGATAGTTCCATGTTTTCATTTTTTTTAAGTGCTGTAAGGCATTCATAGAATCATAGAATATCAGGGTTGGAAGGGATCTTAGGAGGTCATCTAGTCCAACCCCCTGCTCAAAGCAGGACCAATTCCCAACTAAATCATCTCAACCAGGGCTTTGTCAAGCCTGACCTTAAAAACCTCTAAGGAAGGAGATTCCACCACCTCCCTAGGTAACCCATTCCAGTGCTTCACCACTCTCCTAGTGAAAACGTTTTTCCTAATATCCAACCTAAACCTCCCCCACTGCAACTTGAGACCATTACTCCTTGTTCTGTCAGCAACTCCATCTCCAGATCTGAAAGCTAGCACCTTGGTACAGCAGATAAATCAGTAGAAACCATTCTTGCTTGTTACTAATAGCACCAAAAGGTTGTTTTTTCTGGCAACATGTCCTAAGCATATTGTTTTCAACATTTGTGGCGCTGTCACTGACTGGACATCTTAATAGCCTTGGATGTAGGCTAAGAATGGGTGAACTCTTTAAGGGGAAAAATAAAGTACTTTTCTCCACAGAAAAAAGGCAGGGGACTGGACTCGATGACCTTTCAAGGTCCCTTCCAGTTCTATGAGATAGGTACCTAGCTGAGCAATGCATGAAGGAATGGATGGTGTATGAAGTGAGAAAACAGGAGAAATACAATTTTCTTAATCCTATTGATTCACAACATTTTGATGATGATGATGATGATGATGATATGTAGCACATGTAGCTTCTTTAATCCCCTAAGTGCCCTATGGACATTCACTAAATTATTTCTCATAAGACTCCTCAGAGATAGACAAATAAGTGTTGATATTCCTGGGATAAAGGTGGGAAACTGAAGCAGAAAGTTTAAAGGATTGTCCCGAGGTCACCCAGGGAGTCAGCAGCAAAGACAAAATTAATAGTAGTAATGCCTTTGTTTTATGTATGTGACTTACATAACTTTTCATTTATAGCTCTCAAAGCTCTTTACAAAGGAGATAAGGATCATTATCTCCATATTTACAGACACAGAAAGAGGCTCAAAAAGGTGACGAGGGTCACCAAGCAGAACAAGGACTAGAATCCAGGTCTTTTGAATTCTACTTCAGTGTTTTAGCCACTAGGCTATGTTAGAATAAAGGCGTGTATTGCTACCAATCTTGTGCTCAGACTATGTCTCACCCCTCTCTTGATTCATTATATCCATGTCTGCCATGAGAAAAATGGCAATATTTAGATTTGATCACATTTGAGCATAATAAAAGATAGAGTTATAAGCCCCGTAGATGAACATGACATGTTAGGGACAAGCCATCACAGCTTCTGTAAAGGAAAAAATAGCATGCCTCTCTATTATGCTAGAATATATCAGCATGTCAACAAAATATAGCGAATAGAGGAGAACTGATAGAGATAGTGTATATGGACTTTCCAAAAGTCTTTGATGAAGTCCCTCACAAGAGGCTATTAGCAAACGACAGAATTGTGATGTGAAAGATAAAGCATTGCCATGTTTTAGAAACTGGCTAAGAGAAAGAAAAATAGAAGAGGAATAAATGGCTACTTTGCATAACAGAGCAAATGTTAACAGTGGAGGAGCCTCCGGGACCTGTATTAAGACCAGTACTCTAAGACCTAGGAAAGGGGTGAACAGTGTAGTGGGAAAACTTTCAGAGGATACAACATTATTTAAGTTAGACAAAACTGGAGAAGATTGTGAAGAAATGTACAGGGACCCCACAGGAGAAAGGAAAAAAAGGATTAATAAAAAACAGTGATTTATATGAATACGGTGAACATCCACAATTACATTAGTTAGGATTAAAAAATAGAAGAATATAAACCCTCACACTTCAGGTCAAAAGATGACCACAAACTGATGAGATTAGGAATAAATTTCCCCTCTGTACAGGTTAATTCCTCAATTGTCCATTGCAAAGTTTCTTGCAGCTTCCTCTGAAGTATAAGATGTCAGAAATGGGATATTGGACTAGATAACCACTGTTCTGGTCAAATTTGGAAATTCCCTTGTTATCTCTATCCCTACTATAGGTGGAGTTGGCCTATTATAACAAAAGTTAATTATGAATCAGTGTTGTGCACAAATGCCACTTGATCAACACAATCTGCACAATAGTGAGGGGGATGGAATGCCCCCTCCAGCACCATAGAACAGCTGCAATTCAACAGACAAGGGGTGATCAGCTATGAAACCATGTGCAGGGGGAATCAGCACGTCCAGCACAACAGAGCTGGGCTTTGAGCTTTATGTGGGACAGTGCAGAAGGGTGGTTTGTGGCACACCACGGGCCTAGTTAAAGGGTCCATGGTTGTAAGGACCAAATATCTACAACTCCCTCTGTCAGATTAAACAAAGTCACAGTCTCCCATTTCCTGATAGGGGCTATCCACCCGGATAGGGGAATGGATTCTGTATCCTAGCCCTGCATAGTTCTCCCATACAAAGCCTGTTCACTCAGGGCTCTGTGCAATGGGGTTTGTGTGGCTTTTACCCATAATTTAATTAGGGATTGTTGTATTGTTTCAAAGTTGAATATGGCAAACTATATGTGCTTTTTTTAAAGTAGCAGAAGAGGTTGTAACAAATCCATGGTGAAAGAAAGAGGGCTGGAAGACTTTCTATTGGAAAGCCTGCATCGTTGTTGTTTTTTTCTTAAAAGACTTTGCTGCAGCCCTGTGCCAGCAAACTAACTTCTTATTGCAGCACTTGTCACTGTCCATTATTTTACATGCTGAGTCAGGGCCTACCTCCATCTTTTACTAAATTAAAATGAATGGGCCTCAGCAAAGAACAGAAATTCATACCTTTGTACCCGGAGGAGGTGCCAGACCCAGGAATGAATAAATAATGTTTTCTTCCTTGGCAGAGAAGAAGGATTCGAAGTCCTAGAAAAGGAATTAAACAAAGAACAAGGAATTGGTAAGAAGCATATGCAAAAGAGAACAGACCCTACAAATCCTTCCATACATTGCCCCCAAATCACTACTCTCATGACTAAGGATTTGCAGAATCTGAGACATAGAAAGAAGCATATTTAGATCAATGTGTTTAATGCCACTTGGCAAAACAAATACACTTCTGCATCTTTGTAAGGACTAGGCAGAATCTGGCCTTAAATTAGGCACAACATAGCAATGGATGAGAAACAAAGTAAGGGGGAAGGAAGGACCAGGGTTACAACATCATAAGATGTGCTTGATATTAAATAAACACACCCTGTTAGTTCCTCTTTGGATAAAGTTGTTAAACTGTAAGTGTCCCAATAATTTACATGTACATACATGGTATCTCCAATAGATAACCAGCCCTAGGATCACACCAAGACCAAACCACCCGAGTCATTTAAAAACAACACCCAAGACAGATAGTAAGAAACACAGCAATTTCAATGTGTTCCTGGTATCTGATAATAATTTGCACATAAGTAACCTTATAAATGCATACTCTACCATACCTGTGGTAGAGTTACCATTTACATTTCGGTAGATTAAGGACAACTGTATGAAAAATATAGTCAAAGTTTATTTTTAAACAAGCAATACCCCATAAACTCATACATTTTTATCACACTATATACAATCTTTTGCATGATTACTGCTGAAACTCAAGACAAAAATGCATCATATATTGAGTATCAGCTATGCCAGACATTAGATACAAAAATAAGGGATTTACCTCAAAATATGGGACACTCCTTAAAAATAAGGAGCAAATGATCAGTCTACTCTAGAGATCCAGATCACATAATGAACAGGAAGTTTATTTTCAACTTCTTCCTTAGAAGTTTTCTTTGTCAGGTAAAAGCAAATGCAGGAAAACAACGCAAAGTACTCAGTGTATTTAGAAAGTGACGAAGACCTCTGTGTAGACACCAATAGAAGAAGCAGCTTAAGTAAGAGATTAAGTAAAGAATATAATTGTCAGCGTAGATGGTTTATAATGAATACTAAAAACTAATGCTAGTTCTAGGCACTGAAAATACATCCAGTTATAATGTGTGAGTCTTCCAGTGGCAACACCAAAATATCCATAAGAAAATTAAGATTCTAGCCATTTACAAAATAGCACTTAAAACTCTTGGAGCCTGTCAAAAAACCTCTCCCACCCATATCCTCTGTGTGACAGATACGGTCACAGAGACCCCCTTGTGATTGTCACCTGATGTGCTGAAATTACCTCTGAGCCCATTTTCCCTGCCAGCTTGGGACTTCCAGAACCCTGTCTTGTTGAGCCAGACATGCTAGCCTGCTTCAGACTAAACTGAAAACAGCTCAGCAGGTACCTGACTCCAGAACCCAAACACCCAGCTCCCAATGGGATCCAACCCCCAAATAAATTCGTTTTACTCTGTATAAAGCTTATACAGGGTAAACTCATAAATTGTCCGCCCTCTATAACACTGATAGAGAGATATGCACAGCTGTTTGCTCCCCCAGGTATTAATCACTTATTCTGGGTTTATTAATAAACAAAAGTGATTTTATTAAGTATAAAAAGTAGGATTCAAGTGGTTTCATGTAATAACAGGCAGAACAAAGTAAGTCACCAAGCAAAATAAAGCAAAAACATGCAAGTCTAAACCTAATACATTAAGAAACTGATTACAGGTAATATCTCACACTCAGAGATGTTCCAATAAGCTTCTTTCACAGACTAGACTCCTTCCTAGTCTGGGCCCAATCCTTTCCCCTGGTACAGTCCTTGTTAGTTCCAGTAGACATCTCAGGTGATAAGCAGGGGTTTTCTCATGACTGGCCACCCCTTTGTCTTGCTCCACCCCCTTTTATAACTTTGGCACAAGGCGGGACTCTTTTGTCTCTCTGGGTCCCCACCCCTCCTTCTAAATGGAAAAGTACCAGATTTAAGATGGATTTCATTATCAGGTGACATGGTCACTTGTCACTGTAAGACCCCAAGTCTCCATTCCTCCTGGGCTGGCCCACACATACACAGGAAGGCTTTCAAGTAACTAAGGCCATTTACAACTGATTGTTTCTGGAGCACCTTTAATGGCCTCCACTTATTATGTTTACATCAGTGATACAAGTTTATATCTTATTCTCCTAACTCCATATATAGAAATAATACATGCAAACAAATAGGATGAACACACTCAGTAGATCATAAACTTTGTACTTATAGGAAGGGAGTGGGAAGAGGCATTATGGGCAGGTTGAAGATATAGACAGTGGTTCATGAACTAGCCCACAAATACTTATATGGGATACAGTGGCTTGTATTTGTGGGCTAGTTCATGAACCACTGTCCATATCTTCAACCTGCCCATAATGCCTCTTCCCACTCCCTTCCTATAAGTACTGCTCTAGGGTCTGATACCTACACATCCAGCGGAAATGTGCTATTTCTGCCAGGGACAGGAGGAAGGATTTGGCCTATTGTATTTATATGTATTTCCATCCATTATTAATCCAAATAGCATTTCCAGGTGTCCAACCAAATACTAAAATTAGGTACTGTAACAAGCCTGCTGTGCTATGCTCCTTAGGTATGAAACTTGAGTCCTGCTCACATTAGAACTCTTGTAAGGCTAATTTCAATACTAATTTGATTTAGCTTTTAAAAATAGTTATTGTAACTGCCTTTTTTTAAAAAAGAACACTGCACAGCACTCTGAGATGCTTTCACAAAGGATGTTGTATAAATATAAATTTGTAGTAACATGCAAATTCTTTTTTCCCCAATATAGCTTCACACACAGAGTCAAATATTGCACATTTATAATTTACAGGTGCTGCAGCTGGTCTGCCTAGCTTTATAAGGCAGTTGCTCTTTAATGGTATACAGCCATTATGTAACTTCTCTTTATGGAATCTCAAAAATCTTTATTGCAACACTGGTCACCAAGAAGTTGGGGGATAGGTATATGAAGGGATACCTTGCATTCACCTATGTTAAGATAAACAGGGTCTGTTATCCCCTCCCTCCCCCCACCCTTCATATTTATATAAGAAAAGTAACCACTTCATTATTTGAACCTTCTGTGCCTTTGGAAAATGGCAATATGGAAATATACATCCTTCAAGTTGAGGACGGTGTACCAGTCTCCAGGATCCAGGGAGGGGATAATGGAGGCCAGAGGAGACTATGCGGAACTTCAACTTCTTGAGATAATTGTTGAGGCCTCGCAGGTCCAATACGGGGCACAGACCCCCCTTGGCCTTCGGAATGAGAAAATACCGAGTAAAACCCTTTCCCTCTTAGGTGTAAGGGGACTTCTTCTATGGCCCCAACTTGCAGGAGAGCTTGCACCTCTTTGGCGAGAAACTGCTCGTGAGAAGGGTCCCTGAAGAGGGATGGGGAAGGGGGGTGGGAGGGATAGAAATAAACTGTAGGGTATACCCCACAGCCACAGTGCTGAGGACCCACCGGTCCAATGTTATAGCGGCCCAAGTGGGGAGGAAAGGAAAACGGTGGTTTGAAAACAAGAGGGGTGCAGGATCCTGGCTGCAGACTGGGAGGTCGCCCTTGGGTTCACCCTCAAAATGCTTGCTTGTTACCAGGCAGGTAGCAGGAGGAGCCCGAGTGGCAAGAAGGGGCTGGTTGTTGGCCTTGACAGCACTTACAGCCCTTGCCCTTCCTGTGGTAGGGCTCCGGTCGGGCCTGACTGCTTGGTCTTTGAGGTTGCTGCGGTCTGAACCTCTTTCTAGCAGAGGCCGGTGTATAGAGACCCAGGGAATGTAGAGTAGCCCTAGAGTCCTTAAATCCATGTAATCTTCTCTCTGTTTGTTCTGCAAACAGGGCTATGCCCTGGAAGGGGAGGTCCTGGATTGATTGCTGAGTCTCCATCGATAGCCCGGAAGACATCAGCCACGATGCTCGCCTCATTGACACGGCCATTGCGATGGACCTGGCAGCTGCGTCTGCCGTGTCGGAGGCGGTCTGAAAGGAGCCCCTTGCCACCTTTCTCCCTTCATCTAAAATGCCCAGGAACTCTTGCCTGGAGTCCTCCAGCAGCGAATCTGCAAACTTGGCCACAGACTGCCACAAACTGAAATCATACCTCCTGAGTAAGGCCTGATGGTTTGCCACTCATAACTGGAGGCTGGCAGATGAATAAATTTTTCTGCCAAATACATCCAGCCTCTTGCCGTCCTTGTTTTGGGGAGTTGAGCTGGGTTTCCCCTGCCTGTCCCTCTCGTTGGCTGCAGGGACCACTAAAGAGTTCAGGGCGAGGTGGGAATACATGTATTCAAATCATTTCACAGGGACATAATACTTCCTCTCTACCCACTTGGAAATGGGTGGAAGAGAGGACGGGGTCTGCCATAGGGCTTTTACCAGCTTTACTGCCCCTTTGTGTACCAGGAGCACCACCCAAGATGGGGCTACCATGGCCAGAATGTCAAATAAGGTGTCAGAGGGTTCCGCCAACTCCTCTGCTTCCAATCCCAGGTTTGCCGCCACCCCCTTTAGCAGTTCCTGGTGTGCCTTGGCATCGTCCTGTCCCCCTGTCCTGTATTGGACAGGCCCACCACTGCCTCATTGGGTGCGGATGACGAGGAGGCAAGGGTGGGGACAGGGGCTTGCTCAGCATCCCCCGCATGGGTGGTCTCCACCGAGGCCAGAGGGTGCTCCTGGGCCCCTTGCTCAGACCCCTCTTCTGATTCCAGGGGAGAGCAGGAGACTGTCACCGACCTCCTCTCTGACGCCCCTGACACTGAGTGCTGCATCTGAGTCTCTCATGCCTGGGGGAACCCCCATGGGTTCCAAAAGTGCCACTGGACAGGCCATTGGCCCTGGGGCAATGCACTGGCCAGTGGCCCTGGAAGAGCCCCCCCAAATCTGGTTGGGTGTGGCTGGCCCGAGGGACCCGCTATCTCCTTAGCTTCCGAGCCCCAGGAGGAAAGTTCCTGCCATGGGGACC